AAATTATTTTGATCCCCCTCTTAGTGGTTGACAGTGGTAGTTGGGCACCACCTAGTTCTTCTGGTCTCATAGTCGTATAGGCTGAGGATTTTGCATGGTGTACCGATCGCTTGGACTAATTGTTTCCATGAATCTTTGGTTTTCTTAATTCTTTGCTCTGGATGAGGAGAGACCTATTGTTGCATCTAGATGGCTGCTTGCAAGCTTTTAAGATCCTAGTTGCTACTTGCCAAAATAGGAGGTGGAACAATGTTTTCTGTAATATGTTATGCCAATTGAGCTTGATGTCCTCTGCGACTATGGTCCAAAGTCCACAGGTCCACCTACTCACTCCCTCTGGGTAGCTGGCTGTGGGCAAGAAATGACTACAACCTTGTCCCTTGTCAGCTCTACTATACACATGGGAATTCTTACAGAACATAGCAATACACTTGTAGAAACATTGTCTGCCAACCCTATACATGGTCAGGGGCACACTCCCCCCTGAATAGACATACCTAATAGTTCAGCCTGTCTACCCATCTATCCACCCGTATATCCATGTTTGCCTTCACTGAGAATGCAGTACTGTATGTGCAAAAGGGTTCATCTTTGTTGTCTGTACCCCCTATGTACTTCTCTATATCTTCCTCTTCCTCAACGCCATCATGTTGATCACTCACATTTGGTACATTGCCCTTCTCTTCACTCAAATCAATACTTCTCTCTAACTATCTAACAGTGTTCCCTCTCCTCCCCCCCCACCCCTGGTAACCAACAAAGAAAATTTCCTGCCATATATAAACCTTTCCTTGACTTTTTACAATAACAGACTAATACAATATTTGTCCTTCTGTGCTTGACTTACTTCACTCAACATAATATCCTCCAAGTTCATCCATGTTATGTGGTGTTTTGCAGATTCTATGTTATTCTTTAGGGTTGCATAGTATTTCACTGTGTGCATATACCATAGTTTGGTTATCCATTCTTCAGCTGATGGATACCTAGGTTGTTTCCATCTTTTGTTTGCTGTATGTATTTTACTACAATTAAATTTTTTAGAAAAAAAAAAAACAAAACCTTGGCTAGCATCTCTGAAGGAAATGTTAGCATTGGAAAATAACAGTAAATTTTCTCTTTGCTCCTCCTCACACTCCGGGCTAAAAAATATTTTGAGCAATTGTGGTCTAGAAGAGAATAAGCATCATAAAATAGAGCTGCATGGTCTTACAGACAAAAGATAATATATGTATCCACAAATGTCTTGAAAGATTATCCAGGTTCATATGTTGAAATACATGACTTATTTTCTTAAATTTTCTCATTACTCAATATGTGTATAATAAAATATTCTAAAGGTACCAAAGGATACACAGGGATGAGACACCTCCCACTCACCACTGAACTCAGAGACCCCAGCTCTCCTCCCTAGAGGTAATGTTATATTTTTCGTTACATTAAATTTTTGAACTACAGAGTCTCTTTTGCATATCAACTGGCCCATAGATTAAGTGACAAAGATCCTCTGAGAGAAGGTTCTGAATGACTAGCTGGAACAAAACATCATTTTCTAGGCTAAACATCTATTCTCCTTCAGGGTACAAGAAAAAAATGTGTCCATTTGTCTAACAATATAAAATAAGGTTCCTATTCAGCAGTGTCTGCCTCCCTGAAACATCTTGGGAACTTTCCTTGAACAAAAATTAACACTCAAGTTTTTCCACTACATGTTTCTTTCCCAGAGTATCCTTTGTTTTGCACTCATTCCAAGCATCTCTTACTGTTTTATGATGTTTGGCAAGGAAAGGTCAGAATTCTTGTGGACTACCTGGTGATATTTCCATTTATGTGCTTAGAGAACACAATAAATCTTGAGGCCACGTTATGTGTTGAGTGCAAGGTATATCAATTAGTACTTAGCAATCACTCTTGTTCTCCTACTTTTCCTCCTCTTTAAAAGTAAATAACCAGATTTAAGTATCAACGGGGAAACTTCTGGAAATCACTCTCTCAGATAAAAGTCCAGGGCTGAATTGCTCCATAACATCAGGGACTCAAGTTACTGTTGTTGTTATAAATGCTGTGGAGCCATTGCTACAGCTATTGTGTGAATCCATCCCATTGAGGGTCTCCTCTTTTTCTCTGACCCTCTACTTTCACCAATGCCTTTAGTGCATCTTAGACTTCTCCCTTCAGTACCCTCAGTTCTTGAAGAAATGCTAACTTTTGAAATGTTTAAAAAGTGACCAGTTCTTTTTGGTACAGTGACACGGTATATTCCTTCCATCTTCTTTTGATGCTTCCTGAATTATTCAATATTTTGCCCATAGAATCCTTCAGTATTGCAACTCAAGGCTTGCATTTTTCTTTCCAGTTCTTTCAGCTTGAGAAATGCTGAGTCTATTCTTCCATTTCAGTTTTCTAACTGGGTTTTTGCACATTTCATTATAATACTTTATTTTCTCAAGGTGCTCTTTGAAATCCTCTGTTCAGTTCTTTCACTTCATCATTGCTTCCTTTCACTTTAGATGCTGTACCTTCAAGAGTATGTTTCAGAGTCTTTTCTGATATCCATTTTGATCTTTTCTTTCTTTCCTGTCTTTTTAATGACCTTTTGCTTTGATATCCTTGATGTCATCCCACAGTTTGTCTGGTCTTCAGTCACTGGTGATCAATGTGTCAAATCTATTCTTTAGATAGTCTCTAAATTCAGGTGGGATATACTCAAGGTTACACTTTGACTCTCATGGACTTGTTTTAATTTTCCTCAGCTTCAACTTGAACTTGCATATGAGTGAGTGATGATCTATCTCTTCCATAGTTGGCCTCTGGCCTTGTTCTATCTGACGATATTGAGTTTCTCCCTTATCTCTTTCCACAGATAGAGTCTATTTGATTACAAATCAGTAGACAGAATCAGTAGTTGGAAAATGTGGCCTTGGTGACAGAAACTATGTAGATCACATGATAGAATTTTACAAGACCAAAGACTTATTCACTGGAATATCTTTTCTAACAACATGAACGTGACTATACATGTGGATCTTGCCAGATGGAATACATAGGAATCAAATCAACTACATCTATGGAAAGAGATGATGACGGCTACTATAGGAAGCACCATAAATTCCATATTCTGTAAAGTTAGAAGACAGATATCATCTGCAAGTTCCAAAATACATTTAAAGGCTGCCAAGAGCAGCCGAAATCAAAAAGAAGCCAAATGGGGAGAAGTGAAAAGAAGAAACACACAGAGTAGTATATCTCAGGAAACAAAGGCAACGTACTTTTTTTCAGAGCTGACAGTTACAATCTCAAGTACAAAATCTATATCATCAACAACTGCTGAAGTTGTGTAGAACTGGGGTGGGAAGCAGATCTTCCCAAAAATCATAACCTTAATGTTGAGAAAACTAACTTTGTGCAAACAGCTAAGAGGAAACCCAATTCATTCAAATATTGATACCTGGACTCAAAAATACTTACGGAAAGAAATGAGAAAATGACAGAAAAACTTACTAACAGACAAAAAAGCAGCCATAGAAATGTTGCCATTGGAGCATATGAAATTTCTGGGTAAATATTTTACAATAAATTTTAAAAACTAAAATGAAGGTATAAATACCTCTAAGAAGGGAGAACACAGAACAGAAATAAGATCTCAGAGAAGAGATGGCAAATAAACAGCAGGAGGTAAAATGTGAGCTGACAGAACCCCAAAAAGAAGACGCACAAATAACTGAAGATGGAAGTAGAAGATGCACAAGAGAGAACAGATTTGCAGACAACAGAGTAAGGGACAACAGAAACAAAAATGAGGAAAGTGGACAATGTGAAATGGAAATAAAGAAGTTTAAAGCATGAGAGAGAAAACAGTAAGTCAGACAAAGGAGAGGCTGCTCATGTATACATGGGATCCCTAAAGAACAAAATAGAACAGAGCAATGGATCCAAACAAATCTTTAAAGATATGATTCAAGAAAACTTTCCTAAAACAAACCAAAAACACCAACCCTATTGCCATCAAGTCAGATCCGACTCATAACAACCCCCCCTTGGGGTTTCAAGGCAGTATCACTACAGAAGTAGATTGCCCAACCTTCCTTCCAAGGAGTGGCTGGTGGGTATGAACTGCCAGCCTTCTGGTTAGCAATCTAATGCCTTAGGCACTAAGCCACCAGAGCGTCTTCTTAAAACAAAAGCAGTGTCAAATCTATAGAGTGAAAGACAACAATATATACCAGGGAGAACAGGTCAATATTGAAACAGATCTCGATGAAGTTGTAAACTTCTGAGGATAAAAAAAGAATCCTTTAGGATAAAAAGAAAAAAAAAAAAAAAAAAAAAAAATCAAGGCTGGCCTCAGATTTATTTATATTAAATTAAACTTGAGAAGATAAGTGAGCAACAGTTACAAGGTCCCCAATTAAAACAAGGGAGAGCCAAGGATTTTATGCTAAACCAAAGTGCCAATCAAATATAAACAAATACACAGTTTTGAATATGCTCAGGGAATGTTGTTTTCACAAATCCTTGAGCAAATTTATAGATGATGAACTTCAGCTATCTACATGTCTGGGCAACTGGCAGTGAACACTAAAAATTCCTATCTAGAGAAGTAAAAGTTTTTTTTTTTAAAAAAAGCAAGGAGGCAAAAAGGCAGGGATTTGGATAATAAGACAGAATGTGAATGTCCCAGGCTGTAATTATGTAGATATTGTACAACTACAAACATTAGGAAAGAAGCTTCCACAAAGAATACCGAAAAACTGCAAGGTCTTGAAAGCATTCTGCTTCATATACTTTCTTTACTGAGACAAGAAAGACTAAAAACGTACTTTGAAAAGATTTTCAAAAAGGATTGCTATAAAAGAGTTTTCCAATAAGCTATTTGTTTACTGTAAAATCCAGAAGACCTTTTGTCTCACAAACAGTAGGTTTAAGAAAAATTTTATTTTCATATGTTATTTGTCATGCAGAGATAGTAAAGACAAAAACCAGAAAGGTTTTTTACTTACTTTGGATGTTCAAACTTGTCTATAAGATCAACCTTTTCCACGAGGTCTCCTCCAACTGTTCGGACTAAGTCATAGAAATCGTTCTCCGTGTAATTCTCAGAGGGCAACCAGAATGAAATGTCATTTATCAGAGCAGGATATTTGCTAAGAGGCTAACAAAATAAGAGAAGAGGAGATAGATTGACTTGTCAGTCAGTTGAGAACATTTAAATTTTTCATGAAAAGTTTCACTTGGCTACTTAGGAAAAGTTGGTAAAACATTATTTTGGCACTTGAATTTTCAGGGACAAGATGAACTTAAAAGATAAATCAATACTCAAAACTAGTAAGTTCCATTATGAATGTTACAGATTTGTATCACATTCATATGTAGCATTACTATATTACATTTATATCCTTATTAATGTTCAATCAGTATAAAACAATTTCAATCAACTGTATTTCAGTTATTCCCATTCAAATACTAGAGGAGAAAAGTTCAAATTTAATTAATAAGAGATTCATTAACTTCTTGTGATGTTTTTGGAAAGCTAGATGTCCTAGCAGTGCAATAAACTACAAAACAATATGAATTAAAAATGAATAGGCAAAAATTTATAATCCTGAATTTGAATCTTTCTTACCAAGTAAATGTCTTAAACAAACTGCTTAATCTCTCTGTAGATCAGTTTCCAAATTAGAAAACTGGGGGCATTATCAATACCTACCTCATGTAACTGATAATTACTGTTACATATATATTGCAAGGAGCTCTGGTGGCACAGTGCTTAAGGCATTTGACTGTTAACCAGAAGGTTGGCAGTTCAAACCCACCAGCCACTCCATGGAAGGAAGACTGGGCAATCTACTTTCATAAAGATTTACTGCCTTGGAAACCTAAAATGGGTCGCTGTGAGTTGGAATCAACTTGATGGCAGTGAGTTTGGGCTATATATTGTTTATATTAAATATTTTGTTATGTTGTTGTTATGTGCCATTGAGTCAGACCTGACCCAAAGTGACCCCTCCTTGGGTTTCCGAGGCGGTATCACTATGGAAGTAGATTGCCCAACCTTCCTTCCGAGGAGTGGCTGGTGGGTTTGCACTGCCAGCCTTCTGGTTAGCAGTCATTTTGTTATAGTATGCTATTATATTATATTGCGTTGGATGTACTACATTATACACAAACAATATACAAGAGTTAAAGTGACTGAACTGAGACACATTCGTCGTAACAGCTAAAATTAAAAAATATTGACTTTTTATAAAACAAGTTGTATTAAGATGTCTTCAGTATGGTATTTGTATGAAGTTTAAAAACAGGTAAAGCAATAATACCTACGTGGAAATTGTATTGAATCATATGTGGGAAGGTTGTATGTACTTGGGCTCTAGAATAATGATTACCTATAGAGAAGGAAAGAAGCTCTGGTAGTGTAGTGCCTAAGGCATCTGACTGCTAACCAGAAGCCTGGTGGTTCAAACCCACCAGCCACTCCTTGGAAGGAAGGTTGGACAATCTTACGTACATAGAGATACCGCCTCAGAAGTGCTCCTCAAACGCCCACTCAACTATTGTTGAACGGACCACACTATGGGGTGAGGATCATACTTTGCAAGCTTTCCAGAGCAGTTTGGATTTACAATAAAAAAATACTATGGTTCCCAAAAGGACTGTTCCCTGTATCATCTGAGTCACATAAATTTGGCATTCCCAATTTACCTTCCCTTTTCCCTTTCTTCAAAATGCAAAACATTTTCAAAACTTTGCTTACTAAGTTTTGCTCCCACCTCTCTGTATCTAGCCCCCACTTCCAGTATCTCCTTCCTGTAAAAGCCTTACTTCTCTCTTCAAGAATTCATCACCAAACTTATAGTTGGGAAAGTTGGAAGTAGAAGTTTCTGAGTCCAGTTATGGAAGAGGAGACCAGATGAAAATTGGGATGCATTTCCCGTTTTGTTCCTCCAGTTAATTTCTGTTCTTTATTATCTCCTTTATTCTTGTTTAATTGGTTTCATTCTGTTCTTTTTGGACCTTCTTGAGTTGAATGGTTAACTCTTATATTTTTGGGCTCTCTTCCATCCAAATAAAAGTATTTAAGCTGTAACAGTCCCTTCAAATACCTCTTTAGAATATTCCACAAGCTTTAATATGCAGTATTTCACTATTCAGCTTGAGATATTTGCATTTGTTATTGCTAGTTTTTCTTTATTTGGAAATACTTTTTTTTTTTTTTGTTTCCAAATATATGTGTTTTTGTGGCTTTTAAAAAATAGGTTTTAACTGTTAATTTCAAATTTAATTGTATTAATGACAAAAACACTGTCATTATGATATTCAGTCTTGAAACTTTGTTGAAATTTGTTTTGTAACCTAGAATGCAGTCAATTTTTATAAATATTTTGTGTTTGAAAAGTATATTATCTATTATTTGGGTGATTAATTATATAAATGTTACTGAGATTAAATTTCTTAATTGTGCTATTCAAATCTTTATCTTTTCTGATATTTTATCTGCTTCATCTTCTTGATGTATAAATTTTTGATAAAAAGATAATACAATTTCTCACTATTATTGTAGCTTTATAAATGTCTCTCAATAATTCTATTAGTTTTGTTTCATAAATTTTGAAGCTATATGGTTAGGCATACAAAAGTTTAAGATTGCTATATCTTCTTGATTGAATTTTCCTTTTAGCATTATTAATGTCACTCCTAATCTCTATTAAGGCCAAAGCCTTACATTAGAACTTGTTATACCAGTTTTCTTTTCATTAGCATTTGCTTGGTATCTATTTTTCCAAACTCTTTGATTTCAACTTTTGTACAGTGTTGTTTTAAAGATGTTTTCTTAGACAAGACGAATTTTATTTTAAATCCAATAGCTCTAACTTTTAAGTCAGTTTAATCAATTTGTATTTGTTGTGTTGACTGATTTTTACAATTTCTTAAAAAATTGTAAACCTTTCAACCTCTTTATCATTGGGCTGTTAACCAGTCTTTTCTTTTTCATAAATTTTCTCCTTCACTGCCTTCTGCTGGATTGATGAAGTTTGAAAGTATTCTAATATTATTCACTCTTCTATTTTAGAAAGTATAAATTATACTCCTTTAAGTATATATTATCCCTTGTCCCTTAATAAATTGTTCTAAAGTCTAGTGTTACTTAGTGTGTTTATTTAGCTCCTGAACAAGACTGGAAACTTCATTTTATTTAATAGCTCCTCTCCCTAACTATAGAACTTTCTCATTCTTATTGTCTAGAGTTTTATTTTGCCTCAAAAAACAAAAACAAAAGCACACATAAAACAGGAAGTTATTTAAGTCAACACCTAATTTTCAGTTAAAAAATGTAATTCTATATTTGCTCTTTGCCTTCTACCTCTTCGTTGAGAGAGAATTCTTCATGGAATTTCTACATATCTGTTACAGCTTGAATAACAGCCTTGAGGGAGAAATGTAGTTTCTCTTCTCTGGCACAGAATAGATTTGTTTCTTGACCAACCAAACCAAACCAAACTCTCTGCCATTGAGTAGATTCATACTCAGAGTGAACCCCATTGAGTTTCTGAGGCTGCAAATCTTTATGGAAGCAGATTGCCCCATCTTCCTTCCACAGAGCGGCTGGTAGGTTTGAACCACTGACCTTCTGGTTAGCAGCCAGATGCCTTATATCCACTAGCCACCAGAGCTCCTTGTTTCCTGACCAGGATAATAAAAATAATGTCTCCCTCAGGGGCAGAGATTGGGCAGGTTTGCTAACAACCACTCCTAAAAATTAAGGGAAAACTAACCAACTAAAGATTAGGGGTTTCTCAGTATATTGTAGCATTCTCTTGAGTTGTCTCACATCCCCCTGTGAGAATTAGGAGTAAGAAGAACCAATGCTACCCTCTGTGCTCTGAGCAATGAAGGCTTTTGTCTTTGACCCAGGAGTCTCATGTCATTCTGTCAGCTTCTATTATACTGTGGCAGGCTACCTAGTTAATTTGCAAGTAGGGTAAAAGAAAGAGAAGTGGAAGCTAGATCACAGTCCCTGACATCCTCCCTTAGTTTTCACATTTGTTCTTACAGAAAAGTATCCTTTAATACCTCTTCCAATGAAAGTCTGTGGGCAGCAACTCTCTCAGTATTTATATATCTGAAACCTCTCACACTTAATAATTTGGTGGGACAAAAAAAACTGCAGGTTTAGCGTTGTCTTCCCTCAGTATGTTGAAAATGGTTTTCTAGTATGTATTAGTAATGATAACAAGTCTGCTGTCAGTCATCGCCATTTCTTTGTAAGTAATCTGTCTTTGCTTCCTGGAAGTTTTGAAGATCTTTATCTTTATCTTTGAGGCTCTGCAGTTTGACTCTGATTAGGCCTGGTGCACATTTATCTTTATTTACTCTGCTCCGTACTCAGAGTGTGCTTTCAATCAGAGAGTTTATGTCTTGCTCCAATTCTGAAAAATGCTAGCCACTACTTCTCTGCTATCTCTCCCTTCTCTTCAGCAACTGCAATAATACGTATTTTGGAGCTTCTTGGTCTAGATTTTACTGTTCTACTTCTCTTACCTGCTCTCTTTTAGGTTTTTCTTTTGCTTGATTTATACTGCATTCTGGATAAGTTTTATTATTTATAAATTCTCCCTTAACTCAGTCTAGTCTCATCTGTTTTTTTTTCTTCTTCTCCTTCTTCCCCCCTCCCTCCTCCTTCTTCTTTATCTCTCTTAATTTCAAAGAATCACCATTACTCATTTATGAGATTTCTAATTTTTTATCATATCCACTTACATTTCTCTTTTCCTTGTTTCTGCCGCTTCTTCAGAATTTACCATTTCTTTCTTACATTTTAAAATTATTGGTCCCCTAATTATCTCTTTGAACACATGATGCATTTTCTTTTGGATTCCTTTTTGATTTTACTTTCATCTCCAGTGAATTCCAATTCTGATTGTAGATCTGGTTGGCTGACATTCTAAGGTCAGAGTTCATCATATGGTTTGGGAGTTGAGTGTGCAGACTTATCATGTACGGAAATTAACATTTATGTTCTCTCACTGATTACCTCTGTTGGTTAGAGGTTTTTGTGGTTCCTCTACTTCTACCCCTACTTCCAAACCAAGCTGGTAGTGGCAGCCTGGGTTCCTGCTCAATGGTGACATTACATTCAGCCACTGAGCTGGG